AAAGATAGTTCAAATGTCTTGTTGAACTTGGAAAGAAAGAATGTGGTTCAAATAAGAGTTAAGAGCCATGGGATCACTGTTTTAACTTTGTGTAATGCTATATGTATGTATATGTGTGTGTGTGGTCCTCAAATTTCAATTTTCTTTAACTTTCTCCTATCACTATAGGTGGGTAATGAGTCTAATGACACGCCAAAATGTCCTTTAAATTTGATCTCATAAGCCCTTGTGTGATGAATAATGATACACCAAAGATTGTTATGACGCCCCAAAAATTTTAAGGTGTGGCTAACCCGTTATAAATTAGACCCCGTTTACTTAAACATAAAACACAATTGTGTAATTTGACTAAAATGCCTTATTGGTTAAGGACATCATTCCTTATGAAGAGATGGAAAAACAATTCTCGGTCTTCATTGTTGAGAAGAGCTCCAGAAACTGTAGGTCTATAACATTCCCAAACTATAAACATCACACTAGGAAAAGTACGTGTGTCACCTTTTCAATATCAGAGAGTGACTAGGAAATGCAATACGGGCTTTTAAAATATAAGAAGAAATGCCACGACTAAGAAGTACAGGGTCTTTTTCACTTGTACTGTTAGGCATTTCTCTTCAAATTAATACAATTATGAAGATGACGGCATCACTCTAGTGAGCCTTGAACATGGATGGATGTGGTTAGTATCATTGTGAATTTGTCATGATCATCTCTCATTTTATCTGCTTTCCATATCCCTCTCTGGAAGCAATAGAAAAATTGAATGTAGTATAGTATATGATAAATGGCTCAATATACCACAACACTGTTTTCTGATCCTATTTGAATCTTGTTTGGCAATGTATATTTCATGTTGATTTGCTTCTCTTTGAAATTGCTATTTGTTTCCTTTGATAAACTTCTCTTTATTTGTCCCCTTTGCCTTGAGATCGAGAACTTTTTTTTTTTGTTTATTTCCTTATTTATTTTTATGTGCCAGGCTTGCTGTTTTGTTCTTCAAAGCTGGGTTTCAAAAAAGTTTATGACCGGATGGTACTTTATTTCCTTACATCTGAATATAAAAATAGTTAAATATGTCTAAATTTATTGGGTTGACACTGTGCTAAACATTATTATTGCAGTGTTGTCCTATTTCCCGTGGCCGTTACGTTCTTTGTGACCTGGTGGTTTATTCAATTTGTTGATGGTTTCTTCAGCCCTCTATATGCTCAACTGGGCATAGACATATTTGGTAAGTATATTTGTCTGTGCTTAAATTGTGTAACACCAACTACCACCCATACAACTTTCCGCATTATTCAGATGGGTCGAGATCGTTTTCGGCTTTCTGCCTTTTTCTTTTTACTTGTTGAAACTCAGAAGTATTCCCTTATAGTTTCTTATGAAGAAATTTGAAGTGAGCTGACCCTTGTCATCTTTGGCAGTAATATTTTCTCTCTGTTATACTAGTCGTTGTGATTTTTGTCTCTTTTACAAATATTTTAATTTATATTAGCATAATGGATGGTTTTGGTGTGAATCTTTCTCCACGTCTCAATCCTCTAATACAAATTTTATTTAGTTTGAGGTTGTTCCAGGTGCTAAAAGTAGTTAAATATGTTTCTTCTGATTTTGAGTCCTTGTTTGAGCATATTTTGTTTGTCTCATTTATGCTTTTAAGTTGATTGTTTTTTATGCAGGACTTGGATTCGTGACATCATTGGTTTTCGTGTTCCTTGTCGGCGTATTTGTTTCATCATGGTTGGGTGCGACAGTTTTCTGGGTTGGAGAATGGTTTATAAAGCGAATGCCATTTGTTAGGCATCTTTACTCAGCCTCGAAGCAAATTAGTTCCGCAATTTCTCCTGGTAATTCCTCCCTTAAATACCTTCACACAGTTCTTCTTCTAATTGCTAAAGATCTCTCTCTTTCCAATATAGATGAAAGTTTTTTACCATTGAAATTATGTTTGCCGTGGGTGATAAATGGATATCTTCTAAAAATTAGGAACCATATTGTGCTGAAGATATTTTCAATGTTATATTCGCAGTGTTGTAAATTCATCTTGCTATATCTGTTCACAATTAATCAATTTCTAGAACTTTGTCATGAAGCCAAGGGCTAAAGAGACAGGTGTTTATCATGCCCTTCATCTATGAATTTTTGCTGACAGTACATCACGGTTTAATATGAAAAATTATTGAAATCCTCTGAAAGTATTTATTGACACGTGCAATTATTGTTGTCCCACACTTTTGCTTAAGCATTCAACTTTAACCAGCTGAAAATCATGGAGAAATAGTGATTCATGCTGTACAACTGACGTGTGCAATTCAAGATTTTTAATTATCATTGCCTAGTTTAACTTTTCCATACTTAATTCCTCTCCTAAATATTCTAGTCATGATTTTTCTTTCTTTCTTCAGTGTCTTAGTTTGGGTTCATATTCACACTTTGAATTTGCACTTTGTGTTTGTTGCAGACCAAAATAATACTGCATTTAAGGAAGTGGCCATCATACAGCACCCCCGTGTTGGTGAATATGCATTTGGCTTTATCACTTCATCAGTTGTTCTTCAGGTATTAATTTGTTTCTAATGATACGGATAGACATCTAGCAGTTGGCTTTCTACGAAAAATACTTACTCGAGATGAGAAACTTATTATTTGGTTGGATTTTTGTCAAAGGCAACCCCCTCTTTCTTTTAACGATGAAAGTTCTCATGAAAGATAAAATATGAAATATAAAGTAGGTAATAAACTAATTCATAGTCATATTATACCAAAAATAACATATTATGGTCATTCACTATTATATGGAAAAATCAATCATACTTATCCCAAATCAATTCTCAACAATTCTTGACAGTTGCAATATAATTAAATAATGTTAAAAAGGGGAGAAAATGATGATTATTTTGCAAATACATCATTCATTTTTGTATCATACATAGACAAGTATCTGTATATTATAAATTAAAGAAAGGTATTGACTAGATGAGATCTTAATTATTTATCTTATAATAGCATTCATTCATGCTACTAGTTTTATCATAAATTTTTCATCCTTTGCTTATTCTTTAACAACTAGTACAGAGCCCGTGCGATGCACGGGGTGCACAATTTTAAGGTTATTTATCCAAACTTATAATTATATACATGAATACAGAAAAATGTACGGGATATATATAGTACGTGACCCGTGCGAGGCACGGGATACATTTATATATTATAAGATGCAATATTCAATAAAAGTTTTATAATACGCAGGAAAATTATACAATAAGATAGTATTCGACAAACAAACAATCATATATTATTAAAGACCACCATGTACACAACATTATGAGTTTGATTTTCCATACAATAATAATAAGATTTTTTGTAAAAAGATAAGAAGGAATTTTCAATCTACACAAACTTTAAACATTAGATGTATTTACGTAAATCAATGACTATATAGACAACTAAACCCTTCAATTTAAGCTTGACATCTACTTATATTTATGGGTGACGTAAAATAAGAATTTAATTTTGACCGATTAAATCTTTATTCATAGGCTTGACATATAAAACTGATTTGATGGGATTTTCTTAACTAAACCGATGCTATGGGATAAAACAAACTTATACTTACCTTTGACTTTTCTAGCAAAGGTAAAAAAATCGGTTCTGATTTTTATCCCATAACAAATCTTTAATGTCAAGCCTATAAATACCAAAACAAATCTGTAATTAATATCATTCTATTTCCAGCAAGCATTGATTACCTTTGACTTTTCTGCCTACTATTTCTAGTAAATAGGATGACTTTTTATATAAGTATAGATTTCATATAATGCAAAAACTGAGATCATAAAAAAGATTCCTAAAAACTGAAACAATATATTTGCATAATTTAAGGTCATTAAGAAATCGATCTCTAAACCAGATTTGATTTTCAGAATATGTTTTTTCATTTCGAATTCCATACAAAATGGAATTCTTTCCAACCAATAGATGTCATAGCAAATATTAACTCTTAACTATTAGACTATTAGTACATACCGAACAAATTGTGTACTGATTTTAGAAAGTTAAAATGATTCATGTTAGGTAATTTTACATTTTATGCATGTTGAACGGCGGGTTTTAAATATTATTTCATAGAATGTAAATGTGTATTATATTATTTTTATGAGATGTTGAATTTGAAAATTAATAGAATTCTTCTTCATAGGAATTTTAAATGTAACAATATTCTTTGGTATATACTACTAATAAAATCTATATTTAAAGTTTATATTTTTTTTTACCGGAAAAAATTCCTTAATTTAAGGAATCATATATCTTCAATCAGTCCACATATATATACATTCTTCACAATTTTAAATCTTGAATTTGATGAGAATTCATATCTATGAGTGCAAAATATGGTTTAACAAATTAATTTTTTATTATTATTCCAGCCATACTTCTTTATACGATTTTTTGTGAAAATACAAAAGTAAATTCTTAATTTTAAATTAGCCGTACATTAAAGAGTACAAATTTGTTGAAATTACAAAAATAGTTTTTTACTTTTAAACAGATGTAAATTTAAATCAATTATAAAAAAGTAATATTTGTTTACCATTTAAATATTAAATCAGCCGTAATTAATGTTGTGCGTTTTAGTTGCCACGATTTTCTCCAAACTAAATTAACAACTGCCATGATTTAAGGACAACATTTAATGCTGCTCTATTTTTAGGAGACATTAAATGTATTTGGCGGGAAAAACTTGCTAAAAATGTTAAATGGTTAATCTTTTAATATAATGATAGATTATCTGTTTCAGAAGCTAAGTCTTATTTTCAATCATTCGAAGCTTATGAAGTGTTTTATGACATATAACAAGTCTAGCTCAGCATGAACATTGTTGTGCTCCATTTATCCCCCATATCACATCATATTCATTCATCTTCACTCTGTGAATGGTTTTAACTAATTCATATTTTATTTATTTATTGTTTACTACACTCTGATCTAGAGAAACGACGGGGATGAGGAACTATGCAGTGTTTTTGTCCCGACAAATCATTTGTACATTGGTGATATATTCCTTGTTAATTCAAAGGATATTATCAGACCCAATCTATCCATTCGTGAAGGGATAGGTATGTTGGGATTGAAGCTCTTTTTTGTCTCCAAATATCTCTCATGTATATGTTAATTCTAAACATGTTAGTGAAAATTGCAGAAATCATTGTCTCTGGAGGTATGACAATGCCACAAAAAATCACGCCAATTTCCCCAATCGAAAGAATTGTTGCTCGACAAGGCGAAAGAATTCCCCTAAGTAGGCTAGTCTAAAGCTGAAAGAATTGTGTTGTCACTAAGAACGAAAAAAACGATCAATACCTTGTTGACGATTTTACTATATATATTTTGTTGTGAAGTTGGAAGTTAAAATCACATATATATTCTATTTGTTACTTTGTGCTTGAAGCCTGTTGCATTAGTTCCATCATTAAACAAATTGTTGAATGTGTGTTCCTTTGTTATACCATGCATAATTAATAATATGAATGAATATATGAAGTGTTCCTTCTTGGATGACATACAAATAGATGTCTGAATTTGGTTCAAATAACCTTCCCAATATCATGACTATTGTACAAGTTAACTATATCTTTGAATGTGGATAGATAGATAATTTGAATTTCAGTATTTTAGCAGTTGTTAGCGACAAGGCTCATCAGCTGTTCAACAATATATGATTTACACCTTATTTTATTATTAGTTTTTATATGAACAAATTAATAGCCTTTGATAACTTTTAATAATGTACAATTAACCCTAATTAATTTTATTTATATATTAAATTTATAATACTATCTTAATATTATTTACTTCTGCGTCACTGCGTGCATCATCAGCTAGTTTACCACTAATCTTCTATCGTAAGCTACAGCTTTCAATAATTGAAAAGTCGAAATGGTCAAACGCTTACAGAGAAGAAGAAGAAGAAGAAGAAGAAAAAAAACAAAAAAAAAACAAAAACAACATTTCAGATGTTGTAAAATATGGACTAACAAAAGTCCTTTTTTTACAAATTTGATTTTGAATTTTTTACTTGTGTAAAAATGTCAATATAGGTGTACATATTTCACCTATAAATATTGCTCAATTTATTGAGCATTATGAAATGTAGAAAAGAAGAAAAGAAAAGAGAGAAAGTAATAAAGGAAGAAAAAATTTAGTAAAAATTATATCCAGTTTCTATATTTGTGTTCTTTATTATTCTAGTATTCATAACACGTTATCAGCACGAGCGCTCTACCCGGTCAGAAAGGTAGTAATATATTAATTATATATGTATATATAAAATTAGTATATTTTACTAATATACATATTACCATTATTATTGGCAAGTAAGGCTATGCCATCTATTACTATATAATACAGAGAAGGAAAAATATTTGAATAAATGTTTGAATAAATATTTCATTTCCCGCTTAAACATCATTTTTTCCCTCTCAAATTTTTTGAAAATTACCTGTTTTGGAAACTCTTTTTGAATTTTTTTCATTTATCCCGCCTAAATTAATTTGATTTTGGATGTGATTTATGGAAATCGGATTGTTTTATTTTAGGATAAGATTTAGTTGTTTTTTTGTTAAATTTGTTATAATTCCTTTTCTTTAGGATGAGATGAGATTTGTTACCATTTTTTTTAAGTCCGATTTGGTACATTTTTAATTCACTCGCTTTTCCTTTTTTTTCACGTTTTATTTCACTCGATTTTCCTTTTTTTTTATGGGTTGAGATTTGGTAAATTTTGTATTTTTAATTTTTTTAATTTTAATTCACGTTTTTAATTTTAATTTCACGTTTTGAATTTTTTCCTTTTAATTTTTTTTAATCCGATTTTTTTTTTCAAACATTCGGTAAAGTTTTTTTTATTTTTTATTTTTTCATAATCCCGCCTACATTTCAATTGTAATTTATTTGGACGTATATCATAATCCTTTTTTTTTTAAAATCGATTTGGTAGGAATCGGATATTTCCTTTTTTTTTGGAAGGGAGTTGATATAAATCGGATAACATCAATTTAAATTAATTAATTATGAAATTTAATTTCCTTTTTTTTTCAAATCCGATTTATATTATATAGATAGATTTCACTTCCTTTTTTTGTAAGCGATTACCTTTTTTTTTGGTAAGCGATTGTTGCAATGAAACGTGCACTAAGATCGGGTTGACCGAATTAAACAATTTTGAATAATATTAAATTAATCAATTACTATTAAATTAATTTTATTTGATTTTCACGTCTAAAATTTTCCAAAATACTATTTTTATTCTTATGGAAAATGGCGGTTGGATGAAAAAGTCAAATTCAAATTAAAAAAAATTGTTATTTTGAAAAAGATATTTTGTAAACCCTAATTCATAAAAATATGGTCAATGATAACTTTAAATACAACGGGTAAATATGGTCAATGATATCATAAATTATATTTTATATTCGATAAGTTCAACTTAATTGATGATTTTGTTTGTTAATATTTGCTTAACTACAAAATATTTTAAAGTTTATAAAGAATCTCATTTTATGTAGGTTCTTGGTACTTTTTTATTTGTACATATTCATTTTTCATCCCATAACCAAATACAAATTTAAATGCGGATCTTACATGTTTATTAGAAATATATGTATATTTTTTCAAAAAGTATGACGATTATATAATTAATTTTATCATATATCATATGTTGGATGTTATTAGTTTGGTTGGGACACTCATTATATTCAAATAAATAATATATAATTTTTCATATTTAGTATTTTTTTTTTATAATAATAAGATGTTAAACATAAATAACTATGTATAATATAAAGTCTTAGAAAATGTTTTAAGTAAAAACTCCTCCGTGCAGCGCACGGGATACACACTAGTAGTCAATAATATGTGGTAAGATGATCTTATTAAATTATTTATGAATTACTACTGATTATGAACATAATATTATTAATTGTACTTCACACCCACAAAATGGTTTACCCAGTAATGTGGCGTGGAAGTTATAACTGCTTATTCGTGTACCCAACGAAAGATTTATCGAGTAGTGTGGGGTGACATTTTTATTTGTTATATTAGCTAAAATGTTTACTAAGTAACCCGAAAAAATAATTATATGTTGATATGCATGATTAATTAAAGTTTTCATGAATGATATAATTAACAAATATTATATCAATAATGTGTTTTTGTAAATAAATAATAATAATAATAATAATAATAAATCTAACGGCTACATAACGGCTCTTTTTGCAACGGTTATTTATCAATCTATATATATCACACTTCATTTCATATATTTAACACTCATTCCAAAATACTACAATATATTCTCCTCAAGAAAAAAAAATGTTTAATCTATTATTTGTAATTACCATTATATTGTTTATTATATACGCTTTGGGAATTTTCACAATGATGTATCATACTTCTGAATTTATATTTTATGTATTAGGTTTTTGTATAATGTGTTTATTATTTGCTCTTATGTACGTTTTAGAGAATTAATGATTGTATATGTAATTTTTTTCGAATATAAGCATTGATGTTTTATTTTATAGTTATCATGGCAAATCTGGTCAAACTCGAATTTGAAGCTCTTGATATATCTGAAAAAAATTATATTTCATGGACATTATAATGAAACATGAATATAAAATTTCAATTATTCATCAAGCTTCATATAGATTTTATCGGATACAAAAGGCATACAGTATCAAAATTAGCATTTTACAATTTCATAATATATCATTTAAATAGAACTTCGATTTAAGACCAATATTAATATGGTTTATTATAAAAAAAAAAAAAAAATAAGATTTGAACAACTAAGTGAACCGGTCAGTGTATTGAATAATGATGACCGGTGATGGCCAGATGATAAGTATACTAATGATAACCGGTGATATGGAATGCCAGATGATAAAGCCATGTACAAGAAATATACATATGAAATGATATGAATGGCTATATATACATGGGCAGGCTAGTGTGGCTCTGCCGCCGGTGACGGATAATACAAATTAAGTGATAGCCGATGAATGGAATTAATGATACTTTGTATCTGGCCATATGAAAAACTTATTAAAGTCCTGACATTATATGGACTAATCTGATCTTGGAAAATAATTGATAAATTTTCCAAATTTGTGGAAAAACAAATATTGATGAGATCCTACCAGTAGTTACCACATGATTAATGTGATGTCGAAAGTTACGACATAATGATTAAATTATATATGATATATTGGTACTGAAAGCTACCACGTTATGATTAAACAAGGTGATGAAATGGTACCAGAAGGTACCATAGAATAATTGAACAAAATGAGAAAATAGTTTTAAAAGTTACCAATTATGGGTGATCATACAAAATGATTTCTCGGTATATTATATGAATCTAAGGGACTATGCCAAATGACAAAATCACATTGAGATTTGAGATGATATAGATATTACAATGAAGTGTTCCAGAAGAAGCACATGTGACAATAATTGTAGTCATGACGTACTACATACTTATCTTGAGGAAATGCGAAATTTATATTATTATTACTGAGAAACAAGTACAGAATGTTCAGATGATGGACATATGGAGAAGAGGCAATAAATACTCAATGAATACAAAATACGCAAATATTACATAATAGAACCCATAAAAGAAGGGTGCGTCTCGAGAGTATAAAACTCCGTAACTCTGCCACCCATAAATGATATTTGGGTTCATAATGAGAGATCTAAAGGATCAAAAAATGTGATACATTCTTGAAGCTTTTTGATAAGTTCAGCAGATGTGTCTGCATATTTGAATATTTCTCTCGCTGAAGGAGATATAAAGATTTGATATACTCCTTCATCTAAAAATCCAAGAAAACCATGAAAGAAGTTATTAAAATTCAATAGACCTATGGGCTTATTATGAAGTTTCAATTCTGCCTAAGAAGCAATGACAAACATTTTCATTAAAGTTCCATAACCGCCTGGAAGAATGATAAAAGCATCGCTATTGTTCACCATATCCATCATACAGTCATAAATAGAATGAGTTAGCATCATACTCGTGGAATCTTTGACGAACCTTGTTGAAGCTCTATGAAAAGGTATGATACTTTTCACTTCTATATCAAAACATATTCCAGCCATTAAAAGGTTATCAAAGAAAGTGATGCTAGTTCCTCCATACAGTAAATTGATTTTTTGATTCCCCATATCACTTACTAGCTGACTTACAATATCAATATTTTGATAAAAACTTACCAGTTTAGAACCATCAAGAACACAAATGGTTTTGATCGGATGAAGAAAATTATTACCTTGCGAAGACTCTGGAACATCCATCTATTTATTGATAAACTGAATTTTTCAAAACTTTGCGAGATATATGATTATGATGAATGACTCGCTATTTAAAGGAAAGTTTTTGCAAAACGATAAATACTTGTACTGTTTTTCTTCTGACAATTGCGACCGACAGATAAGACATGGGGTTTTAAATAAATCTTATTTGTCGACAATTATAAGGATTTTTATAAATTACAGTACAACCTACTAAACTGTATTAGTATGATTTTTCGTACTACCAAGACCAATTTTACAAACTTGATCTTTTGAAATAATATTTTTTAGACTGTAATGTTCTTCTTCACTTTTGAACTGAGTCCATAAAGACATAAGCTCACGATGCACATACCCACTAGGATGTGTCTCAAGAATCTGTTGAATCGCTTGATCCATAGATTCCTTACTCAGTCCATCCTTTATAAATGCTATTTTATCTTCTCGGTTTTTGGACACGAACCCCACAGATTTACATCGTGTGTCACAAGTCCATCGAGTGCATTTGAAACATCCACCTAATCTTTTTTCTCTTCGTTTCTTTGCAAAAGTACTTTTACCCATACCTGGCATATATTTATATGAATTTGGAAACTCTCCAGACAATTGAACTTTTGCTTCAATCAACCATCGAATATCACTTGGAATATCATTAATCATTAGCACCCTCAATCTTTCTAATCTAGATCGACAAATCCTTTTTATGATATTTATTCGAAGAAAAAAATAATATTTACGGATATTTGAGAGTGCTAGATGCATTTGAAAATTCGGACCTTTGTTAAGGATAATTGAATGAATTACCTGATAATTTATAGAAAAACATAATGCGTAAGAGATACGACTCTGGACTTAAACAGTGTTCAAAAGTATGTGTGTCATACGGCATGATACAATTATGGATTTAAACAGTGGCTAAAAGATATTGTGCCAGAGCCTACACTTAAAGTGTATTTATTGCCGCTGAAAGATGATGTGATATGTTTGTGATAAATGTGCCACAATGAATTATTGTGATGATTACTGATATAAATGATGATGGTTGCATGATTAACTGATTTTTGTGATATAAGATGTTTTGTTCTCGATTGGTGAAAAATATTACTAGCTAAATATTTGTGAATCGATATGTGATCAATCTGAGTATGAAAGGGGTACGATATATATGGGCCCACTACCCCTACATGTGTGCTACTAGATATTATGGATCCACTAGATAGCCACATGAGTATGATTCGTAACCTGAAGTTACGAGATTTGATCAAATAATGAATATATGACACTTAACATGAAGTTACGAGATGATTTGATCAAAAAATGTGTATATAACACGTAACATGAAGTTACGAGATGGTTTGATCAAAGAATGACACAAGATTATTATGAAAGAATGAAAACAAGTGATGAAGCTAGTAATATACTCACCTGATGTGATGAACTATTGAAAGAAAAATGTGCACATTACAAATGATATGAGTTCAAAGTCCTCTAAATATTTGTTGAAATCGAGAACGAAATGGAGATTATATGAACTCCCCTCAAGAAATTCAATACTGAAAATACAGATCAGGGATCTGTTAAGATGAGGGGGAGAATCAATGATTGAAATTTGGAAATGATATATGCATCACACTGAAAGTGTGCAAATCATAAATTGTATGATACTGATGATGGTGAAATATATGAAATGATATGATGGTGGAATAATACGCTGTAAGTGGTGATAGTGTGCAAATTGAAACCCCCCAAATAAGTGATGAAATGAGGCATATGTATACCATTGATGGAATCAATTGATAATGAGATATCTCAATATACTACGGGGAATAATGGAAATGAATAAGTGTCGACACAAACAAATGAATAGCGCTATATAAATGATATTGACAAGAATGAAATCAGCTGAAACTGGAACTATTGACAATAAGACCATTGAAATCAATTGATGATGAGAATGGGTTTTAAAATTAAAAATTGCACAAAGCATGATATGGCATATTATCATGAATACCATCAGTATCCGAAAATCTGAACGAATTTATACGATACTCATGCATATTATGGTAAGATTATTATGATGAATATATATATGGAATACGCGTTGTACTCTTTTTCCCTTGGCTGAGGTTTTGTCCCATTGGGTTTTCCTAGCAAGGTTTTTAATGAGGCAACATGGATGGCGTATTCACATGAATAGTGTACTCTTTTTCCTTCATTAGGATTTTGTCCCACTGGATTTTTCCTAATAAGGTTTTAACGAGGCATATTCATGGTATAATGAGGACTACTGGATAAATGATATGATTCCTCACGATGATAAGAGAGACTGAAGTAGTTGTACTCTTTTTCCTTCGATCAAGTGGGTTTTCTTGACAAGGTTTTAACGAGGCAACATATGTATACTCCACTACAGATGATCTATTCAAGGGGGAGTAATGTTGTGCTTCCACAATACTCAGGTTTTGTCCCACCAGGTTTTCCTGAGAAAACAATGTTATGATTCCACGATCCTGACATGCTGAAGCAACGGTACCTGATGGCCACAAGATACATTTCAAGATGAGGCAGCATAAACTCACATTTTTACTAAGGCAACACCAATGTACATTTCTTTTATTTGTTAGTCCAAGGGGGAGTGTTGTAAAATATGGACTAACAAAAGTCCTTTTCTTACAAATTTGATTTTGAATTTTCTACTTGTGTAAAAATGTCAATATAGGTGTACATATTTCACCTATAAATAATGCTCAATTTATTGAGCATTATGAAATGTAGAAAAGAAGAAAAGAAAAGAGAGAAAGTAATAAAGGAAGAAAAAATTTAGTAAAAATTATATCCAATTTCTATATTTGTATTCTTTATTTTTCTAGTATTCATAACATCAGAGATATTTTACAGTTACCCAAAACATTTTGCACAAGATTTTTGTGCCAAATTAATGAAAAAAAAAAAGTGGTCCAAAAGATTGTCATGAAAGCCAACTCTCATTGAATTTTAAATCTGATGGGTCCCACACACCTCCCTCCGCCGCTCCATCATTCCGCGCCACCTGCATTTTCTCTCTCGAATTAGGGCGGGAAAAACTTCAAAAACCCAAAAAACAAAAAACAGAAAAAAAATCACAAAAATTTAGAGGGAAATCCCTTCAAACCCTACCATTATATAACTGGTTTGCATAGATAATCCCCTTATCCACTCATAGGAAAACACATATATCTCCACAAACATTTCGATCGGTCGCCACTGGAGTTGCAGATCATCTGTTCGACGAAATTCCTCTGAAAGATGTATGTGGTGAAGAGGGACGGGCGGCAGGAGGCTGTCCACTTCGACAAGATAACGGCGAGGCTGAAAAAGCTCAGCTACGGGCTGAGCAGCGAGCACTGCGACCCGGTGCTGGTGTCCCAGAAAGTCTGCGCGGGGGTGTACAAGGGCGTCACCACCAGCCAGCTTGACGAGCTCGCCGCCGAGACCGCAGCTGCCATGACCGCGAATCACCCTGATTATGCTTCCGTGAGTTTCGATTCTTTGCTTGATGCGGGTTTTATTTGAATTTACGTTCGATCTGTGAAATTCTCGCATAAATATTGTAAGGTTTTGTGTCATATTATGGGTGCTGCATCTTTTGTGAATTTGGCTGAAAGTTTTCATTTCCTAGTGTGTAGTTGGTGAATTTGCAACTTTTGTTGTTAAATTGTGTGTTATATTACGAATGGTGCCCTCATCCATGTGCTAGTTCATATGTTGGATGTCATGTTTTTGGGTAGATTCAAACAGTAGAACAATTTTTGTGTTATATGTGATTCAGGAACCCTGAGGATTCTGCTTATGTCTAATTGATGCTGTACAATATATGGCACTTGCCTGCAAATAAGATAACTTCTGTTTGAATATGAATTGAAATGAATTCATGCCGAAGTAATGTTTGTATAGTATTTTTGGTGCTGGTTTTATTGTTTAGGGGATCTGACCTGTGTGGTTGACTCATTTTATTTTATTCAAATGTTGCAGTTGGCTGCAAGGATTGCTGTCTCAAATCTTCACAAGAACACAAAGAAATCATTTTCTGAAACGTAAAGTGAATTGAATTGTCTTGAGAAACTAGGCATTTATGAAATAATTTACTTCTGTAACTGCTATAAATGTGTGATTGTTGCAGAATCAAAGACATGTACAATCATATCAGTGATAGAGCAGGGCTGCCTGCTCCTTTAGTTGCAGATGATATCTATGAGATAATAATGAAGGTATTCTTTTTCCCAGCTATCATTCCACTTATTACTTCATTAAATTAATGCGCATGATATTGTTTATGTACGCAAAGGAACTTTTGTAATATAGAACATACTAGCTATAATAAATTGAAGGATCATACATGGATTAATATTACTCTTAACAATTTTGGTTAAGTAGATCTTTATTTTCTATTTATTTTCATCAAAATTAGTTGATATACAATAGTTTTTATGGTGTTCTTTTCGGCCAAAATTTTGAAGAGAGAACTGTTTTATTTTGAGGAAAAATAGAGTTCTAAGTATTGGCAATTTTATATTTCTTCTACTGAATTTGTATTTCAACATGTAAACACTGTTTTATTTCTTGTTGACAGAATTCAGCTCGTCTGGACAGTGAAATCATATATGACAGAGACTTTGACTATGATTACTTTGGTTTCAAAACCCTCGAAAGGTCTTACCTCTTAAAAATCCAGGGGAAGGTTGTTGAGAGGCCTCAGCACATGTTAATGAGGGTTGCTGTTGGTATCCACAAGGATGATATTGATTCAGTTATAAGAACATATCATTTGTTGTCTCAGAGATGGTTCACTCATGCATCCCCTACCCTTTTTAATGCTGGAACACCCAGACCACAGGTATGCTCATTGTTAAAGTAGCAGCATTGTGTGTAAACTTGCTTCTATAAGCTTGTGTTTGTGAAGATCATCCAGTTGTTAATGAATGTCTTGTTTGGGCATATGTTTAATCCCATATGTGATAAAAGAGGACTATGATTGTTTGTTGAGAACTGAGGCCTTTTCCTGAAATGTCACAGTTGAGCAGCTGTTTCTTGGTATGCATGAAAGATGATAGTATTGAAGGCATATATGATACACTCAAGGAGTGTGCTGTTATCAGCAAATCTGCTGGAGGAATTGGCGTATCTGTGCATAATATCCGTGCTACTGGAAGTTATATACGTGGAACAAATGGAACATCCAATGGCATTGTTCCAATGGTTCGAGTGTTCAATGACACAGCTCGATATGTGGATCAGGGTGGTGGAAAGAGGAAAGGTATACTGTAACATTTATTCTCTTTATCTATTTTATTAATGTACAATTTTTGTTTTCACTTGCATTGAACAGAAATTTGTTATTCTTTTCCTTTCCATGAGTAGGTGCTTTTGCTGTGTATCTAGAGCCATGGCATGCCGATGTTTTTGATTTTCTTGATTTGAGGAAGAACCATGGAAAGGTATACAAAGTATTATTCAGTGAAAATATATTTCACATCTTAAGATTCTATGCATTGAAATAAATAAGTTATATGGCCACTTTTTTATGCTTAGTGTCTTATGTCCTCCTTTTTCCAGGAAGAGCACCGTGCGAGAGATTTGTTTTATGCACTCTGGGTGCCTGATCTATTTATGCAAAGAGTTCAAACTAATGGACAATGGTCATTGTTTTGTCCTAATGAGTCTCCTGGCTTAGCTGATTGTTGGGGTGATGAATTTGAAGCTTTATACACTAAGTATGAGAGAGAGGTAAACCCAATCTGACACGTGGTGTATGCTGTGCTAATTCATTATGTTTTCTGTTTTGTAAAATTCCATTTTGTTGAACTCAGGGAAAAGCAAAAAAGGTAGTCCAGGCACAGAATCTATGGTTTGAAATCTTGAAGTCCCAAATTGAAACTGGAACTCCTTATATGCTGTACAAGGTAGATATCACTTTCAGGGTTCTGGATTTTAACTTTATGCTCCTCGATGCTCCCTATGATTAGGTTGTGCATTGTGATGACCTTATTATGTTACTTCTCATTTCTAGGACACTTGCAACAGAAAAAGTAACCAGCAGAATCTGGGTACCATAAAGTCCTCTAACTTGTGTACTGAGATCATTGAGTACACAAGTCCTACTGAAACTGCTGTCTGCAATTTGGCATCTATTGCTCTGCCAAGATATGTTAAAGAAAAGGTTGTTATTGAGATTTATTGGATTAATTGCTCCTTTAAATGCAACTTCTTTTTTTTTTTTTTTTANTTTTTTTTTTTTTTTTTATTATTATTTTTATAACTATCTCATTCGAGTTATTTCTTGCAGGGTGTACCTACAGAAGCACAGCCAACAAAACTTGTTGGCAGCATAGGCTCTAAAAACCGATATTTTGATTTTGACAAGCTGGCTGAGGTGTGTAGTATTTTATTTGGTATTGTGTTCTTGGCGTAACATAATGTACCACTGTTGTGTTTGTTTCTTTTCTTGGAGCTCTTCATAATAGTATGATTGACTTGCTGTTGTCCAGGTCACTGCAATAGTTACTACAAACCTTAACAAGATAATAGATGTTAACTACTATCCAGTTGAGACTGCAAAAAGGTCAAATATGCGCCACAGGCCAATTGGAATTGGGGTGCAGGGTCTTGCTGACACTTTTATCTTGCTTGGGATGGCATTTGATTCGCCTGAGGTAAAGCTGTTGTTGAACTGTTTGAAATGTTTCCTCTTTGAATTAATTGATTACTTATTTTTATTGATCTCAACTGCAGGCTCAGCAGTTGAATAAGGATATATTTGAGACCATATATTACCATGCACTAAAGGCATCATGTGAGCTAGCTGTTAAAGAAGGTCCATATGAGACTTATAATGGCAGTCCTGTTAGCAAGGTATAACTAGTTTCAGTTATTATTATCTTTTTTAATGCTGGGAGCTGAAAGTTGAAAATATGTAACTACATGTGAAAGGATCTCAATCATGTAGAACAATTTGCAACTCTATGAGCAAATACCAAATTGCATATGCTGAATCATATAGATAGCTTATTTGAGGATTGATGTTTGTTCCCCTTTGCCAAGATTATAGGTTTTGTCATTTTTCTTATATTGCATCTTCTTCAGGGAATTCTTCAGCCAGATATGTGGGGGGTAAAGCCTTCAGATAGATGGGAATGGGACGCTCTTCGAGCTATGATAGCAAATAATGGAGTGAGAAATTCTCTGCTTATAGCACCAATGCCAACTGCATCAACAAGCCAAATTCTTGGCAATAACGAGTGCTTTGAGCCATACACTTCCAATATTTACAGCCGCAGAGTTCTAAGGTCCAGCATTTTAGAATATTATTATTTATTATTATTATTATTATTATTATTATCTTTTTCGACATAGTTCTGTTGTTCTTTGCTGTTATGTCTAATTTTGGTCTCTCTTCTCAGTGGTGAGTTTGTTGTGGTGAACAAGCATCTTTTATATGATTTGACCGAAATGGGTCTTTGGTCGCCTGCTCTCAAGAACAGGATAATTTACGAGGATGGTTCTGTACAAAAGATACCCGATATTCCTGAAGAGCTTAAAGGGATTTACAAGTATGTATTTGCATTGAGGGAGCTACAATTTTTATTTCTCATCGTTTCTTGTCAACCCCTTTCTGATTTATCTAATTTTCCCCCCTTTTTCAGGACTGTTTGGGAAATTAAACAAAAAGTGTTAGTTGACATGGCCGTTGATCGTGGAAGTTACATTGACCAGAGTCAAAGCCTAAACATCCACATGGACCAACCCAATTTCGGGAAGCTCACTTCCCTGCATTTCCATGCCTGGTCTAGAGTAAGTTCAACAGAAAATTAAATTAAATATATCTATAAGCAGCATGCTCTTTTATTTGATTTTTGAAAATTAAATATGAATGAGCTAAGCATGATTTCTTATCCTTGTACTTGAACTTCAAGGGCTTGAAGACAGGTATGTACTACCTTCGATCACGAGCTGCAGCAGATGCTATTAAATTCACAGTTGACACTACCATGATAAAGGTATGCACTATTTACAGATAATCTGTATAGTAAGAATCAATGATTAAATGTTTATCTTTATGGGATGATTACCTATTTAAAAGTTTGTATGGTCATTTGTGATTTCAAAAGACAATTGAGATGCTTTTCGTAATAAGCCTAAACCTTTTGGCAGTTTATTGAATTATCTCTATTCTAAGGCACATGATAAAAAACTAAACAATTATGGGTTTTCTCAGGACAAGCCTAAGGAAGTGGCTGATGATGACAATTCCAAGATGGCACAGATGGTATGCTCGTTGGCCAATAGAGACGAGTGTTTGGCTTGTGGAAGTTAAAAAATTTAGCAATTCTACTATGCTATGACGGCTCAGTTGAAGGGGTTTGCTTTAGTTTGGTTAAACTTTCTGCTGGCTGATTGTGTGTAGTTCACAAACCATCTCTAACTAGTTTTTAACTGATTTTTATTTTATTTTATTTTTTTTCTGGAGTGAATTATGGGTCTTGTCACTGTTTTCTGGTTTGTGGAAGATTATCACAACTTTGGAGATGATATTTGTATATTATATGGATGATGTAATGAGGTTAAGTTAGTCCTATCCGGTGTTTGGTATTCCAACTTTGGAACGATTATTTAACTACTTGTAATGAGGTTTTGCACTTGCCTGTTTTTGTCCCGTGAAAAAATGAACTAAAAATCTTGGTAAAATGAGGTTTTGCACTTGCCTGTTTTTCAATAGATATGTATAATTTTAAATTAAAATATGATATTTCAGAAAAAAATAATATAAAAAATTATGAAATATTCTAAGATATATATATTTTTATAAAAGTATGATAAGTCGATTAGAACATTTCACATCAAAATTTGTATAAAATGAGAAAAGGGATAAAGCAGAAAGC